CTTACCTGCTTCTACTTCCTCAGCATTCTTGCTTTCATCCGCATCATTGTCCACATGTTCTTTCTGGACATTAGTCGGCGGTGGGGGAGGTGGTGAAGGCGCACCACCTTGACCAGTTGATTCTACAACACAATAATATATGAATCCTCAGGTCATTTCTAAATAGTTAAATATGTTTTCATTTTTCAAAACAGTTAAAAAAACACTTTTACTTTAGTAACTGGTTAGTCAGAAGCCAATTTAGAGACGGAAGAAGGCACTTCAGAAGTAGCCCGAGCGGTAGCAAATGCCAACAATAACCACTCGCTGTCAAAGCTAACAATGGCTTCATCCGAGGACTGCTTGGAGAATTTGAAAAAATTTAAATTACTCAGAAATTTTTTTTGTTGAAATTTGTTCTACATTCCTGCCCTAAGCTTGATTTAGATCTCAACCAACGATCGTGACTCTATCCTAAGCATAATGTCATGAGAAGAGAAATTTAACTTTTTTAAATATCTGGTCAGTTGGCTTACTTTGCGGTTCATCGCTTGCATCAACCACCGGAATAGAGCACACAAAATGCCGAGCTTGCCAGCACGTCACTGTCTGCCAGGTATAATTACCTCCAAGCTTCATCTGTACGCATTCTTGAATAAGACGACCTTTTGTTACAGCTGGTTCGCCTTCGGCCCAGTTCAGGAATGTTACCGGTGATGAGTCCTTCCATGAGAAGGAACCTGAAGATGAATTTTGCTTGTCGGTTACACTTATAGAAAACAAAGCTCAGTCTATCTCAGAGCATAAGTGGAGCAGTAATTCTGGCTAAACCTCCATTGAAGTATTTTTGTAATTCATGAAATCCACTTAGTTGAAACGATTAAATTCACAGCAAAAATTTGCCTACTCAACAGTTTTTTCCCCAAGTTATGTGCCTTCACGTGTTCTTAAAAACACACACTCACGCCTTCACACAGTACGCGCATGTCTACACAAAACACACTCACACGTCTACACACAAACTAATACAAAAAAAGATGCTAATGTATGTCTTTGCAGCTGCACAAATGGAAGAAATTCGTAGATGTTATGAGCCTAATGAACAAAATGATGCTACCTCGCTGCTGTCGAATCAGGCCGATTATAGCACTTGATACGGAGAGTTGACTGTGAAGCACATGACTTTTGAATTGTTCAAAATCTTCGCGCGTTTCAAAACTTGCCAAACTCGCATTGTAGTACTAAAAATCACAGTACTTGCTCAATTTTTCATTATCTGTTTTTGGTGGAGAAATTACATCCCTGCGGCACCATGGTGAAGACTCTATATCTCATTTGAGGAATGTCTGTGATAAGTGGTATCAGTTTCTGATAAGGCTGAAGTGTTCGGCACTTACTGCTGAATTTCAATAAAAATACAGTGTCTTATCTCATCTGCTTACTACCTTGCTGCAGTTGTACAGCACGTAAATTCTTCGGCTGCTTTGTTCAGTGCTGTATCGTCTGATGATCAGCATGCTGGGCATCGATAGATGGTCAGCTAGGTGGTAATCTCGACGTGCAGTTTTGTATTTTAAATGTGTCTCGGAATACCTGCGAAAAGTCGGCCAAGAAGCCGCCACGAAGAAAAAGAGAAGAAA